CAGCTCACTTCATGGAGGCCAGGAAGGAGAGAGAGAAAGAGAAGCGAGAAGGGGCTGGAGTCCCAACACCCCTTTCAGTGACCCCACTTCCTTCTACTGTGCCCCACCTCTTAAAGGGACCATCACCTCCCAATAGTGCCATCAACTAAGGCCCAAGCCTTTAATACGAGATACTGGGGACACTAAAGTCCCAAACCATAACAGTTGCTGTGGATGTTTGGCTATCACTGTTCTGTGGAGAACACGAGCTTGCAAGAGGCCTCCCCAGCACAGCACAGTCATGACAGCATGGTCATTTCCATCCTCACCTTTCTCTCTTGCAGCTGAATGTGACTATAGAATGGACCACATCAGGCGGGGCTGTTTTTGACACACTTTTAGCAATTACTTCTGGGCAGCAGACGTAAACTATACTGTCCCGAGGCAGCTGGGCTATCCTGTCCCTCTGCTGTGTGCTTATCACAACTATTTCCTTGATGACAATGTTTAAATCCACAGCAAAGATGTGGGACCTTTAAGAGGTGGAGCCCAGTGGGAGGAAGTTAGGTCATTGGGGGCGTGGCTCTGGAGGGACTGTGGGACTGTGATACGCTGCTCTGGCAGCTCTGCTCCTTGGTCTCCAGGAACTGAACAACTGGGCCCCACCCTGGGCTCCTCCCATGAGGTGCTTCTCTCCACAGCCCAAAAGCCGCAGAGCCCATAGTCATGGACTGAACCCCTACAACTGTAAGCCGGAGCGAAACTTTCCTGTTTTCTGTTGTGCATCTCAGCTGTTTTTGTTATAGAAGCAAAAAATCAACTCATACTCTGGCTCAGCACCAAGATGCAGCAACTGTCCTGCGATTGTCAGTCCCTGACTAAACCACCCTCCAGTGAGGTCTGGGCCTGGGGTGGACCTAGAGAACACCCGTCTCTGGAACACAACTGAAGAGGCTCCAAGGGACACAGCCATCAACACAACAGCCCAGTGGTAAGTACTTGCCTTCCCCGCGCTCAGCCCTAGTTTCCACTTTCAGCAAGGAAAATAATTATCTTATTTTTGAAAAAAAATGAACTTTAAAATACATGCTGAACAAAATATCAATTTTATTTATTTATTTGATTTTTTTTTTTTTTGAGACTGGGTTTTGCTCTATAGTCCAGGCTGGCCTTGAACTCACTCTGTAGCTCAGGCTAGCTTCAAACTTGGGTGATTCTCCTGACTCAGCTTCCTGAGTGCTGGGTTGACAGGCATGTGCCACCAAGCCTGGATTTAAGAGGTTTTATTAGGCATTCCAGAGTGAAATGTCCTCATTTCACCCTGAAACATTTCTTACAACTATTTCTCTTTCTTTTAAAAAGCAAAACATTTACTGGTACCTTTTAGATACACATAATGATAACATTCATCATAGGGAATTTGTACCAGTACATGTATATCTTGCTGTGTCTTTCCCCCGCCATTCACCCCCCTCCCTTAGGTACAAAAGCTTTGTTTCCATTTTTTCCTTTGATTGTCTCTCCTTTTTTTTTGGTGCTGGGGATCAAAGGAGAACCTTGTGCTTGCGAGGCAGGTGAGGTGCCCACGCCCTCTCCTTTTCCTGATGTGTCTTTCAAACTAGAATCCCATCAGGATGGGTGCACACATTGCCTTTGGACATTGGGGGTGTTTTGTGTTTTGTTCTTTTATGTTCTAGAGCAGGGATTGGTAAATCACACCAGCAAATCCACATTCCCTCCTTCCTTCCTTTCTTTCTTTTGCTCGCTCTCTTTTTTTTTGGTTTCTTGAGACAGGGTCTCACTTGTACAGTGAAACTGACCTGGAACTCCCACAGCGATCCTCCTGCCTCAGCCTGCCTCAGCCTCCTGACTGACTGCTGGGATTACAGGCTTGTGCCATCACTTGCTCGTGTGCCCGGCTTGCTCGCTCTTTCTTTCACAATGCTGGGGACAGAATGAGGGACTCACACAGGCTAATGCTCTACCAGTGAGCCATACCCCAGCCCTCTCTCTTGTTTGTGTAAATAAAGTTTTATCAACACACAGCTGTGCTTGCCAGTAGGTACTGCATGCAGCTACCTTCCTCTTTGGTGACAAAGCTGAATAACTGGGACAGAGAACAAAGTGTCCCAGCCGGATGTGGTGGTGCACACCTGTAATCCCAGCACTCAGGAGGCTGAGGCAGGAGGATCGTGAGTTCGAGACCAGCCTGGGCTACATAGTGAGTTCCAGGTCAGTCTCAACTACATAGTGAGACCCTGTCTCAAAAAACAAAACCAAAACAACGTAAATCACCACCACCACCGACATGACCACCCTTCTCATTTCCTAGATTCTGCAGTCAGGGTTTGACTGGGTTCAAGCTGTGAGCAGGCCAGCTGCACAGGGCTGTCACTGAGAAGCACAGGGGCTGCCTGAGGCTCAAGACTGTGGGCAGAACCCAGTTCCTTGGATGAGGAGCTCAGCTCCTTCAGGGTTGCTCTCTCCTCGGGCAGTTTTTGTTTTTGTTTTTGAGACAGGGTCCCACTGTGTAGTCCAGGCTGTCCCTTGAACTCACTGTGGAGCCCAGGCTGTCCTCGAACTTGCTGTGATCCTCCTGCCTCAGCCTCCTGAGTGCTGGGATAACATGCATGTGCCACCACACCTTGCTTACCTGGGCAGTTTGCAACACATCCAGTTCCTTCTTCATAGCATTTCTCTGTCCCTTCTTATCCTGCCTGCCAGGATCTTTAGACGCTGTAGCCGATCAGGCTAGGCCCACCCAGCACAGTGTCTCCACTTAGCCGCCCAAAATCAGGTCACCTGGGACACTGATGTGGTTTGGGGCCTTTAAGAGGCAGGGCCTACTGGGCGGAAGTGAGGTCACCAGGGGCGTGGTCACACCCTGGCTCTTCCTCTTATTTGTTCCCAGCCCTGGACAGGAGGTGTTCCCCATCTGCTCCACTCTCCTTCCCTTCCTTGTGGCGCCCAAGCAGCAGGGCCAACTAGTCATGGTTCAGGCCTGCAGAGCTGTGGACCCAAATGCCCCCTTCCTTTCTGTAAGCTGATTTACCCCGGGTGTCTGCTGTAGCGACAACAAGCTGACACAGTGTGCCCACTGGGGGCAGGGATCTTGCCTTCTTTAGCACACAGTTCTGGACTTCAGAAATTTGAGTTACCTCGGAGAACTACATTAACTCCAAATGGGATCTTTCAATCTTGTCTTTCAATTTTTTCCAGTGCTGGGGACGGATTTCAGGGGCCTGGCCCTTGCTAGACATGCACTGTATCCCTGAGGCACATCCCAGCTCCCCTCAGCCTTTACATTTACAGTATTTAGAATTGAGGTCTTGCTATGTATTACCCCAGGCTGCCCATGAACTTTCTTTCTTTTCCTTTTTCGGTACCGTGGATCAAACTTTGTGAGGCAGTCAGGGAAACCACTGAGCTAAATCCCTGGCCACTGCCCATGAACTTTCAATTCTCCTGCCTCAGCCTCCTGAGTAGCTTGCATGACTGGCATGCCTGAGCCGGAGATCGGGGCATGGCTAGCCTACAGGGCAAGTGGGTATGACCTGTCAATCACAGAGATCCGAAAGACGGGTGCCTAAGCCTTCCTTGTACTTGAAACCAATCAGTGCTATCTTCAAGTCTCCGCTGAGAACGCAAGCAGGTTTCTGATAGGCTGGCCTCGGCATGACGTCAGCCCAAGGGGCGGGAGATACAAAAGATGGCAGCGTTGGCCTCGAGGCCTCCGCCCTCTTTCACAGCCGTAGGCTGTCACCTTATCGGGTGTACTACTTTTAATAGGTCCACATTTGCTCGGCAAAGCATGTTTCTTTTTCTACCCTTAATAAATGTAAAACCTAGCTACCTGTAAAACCTAGCGCTTATTTTGTCCAATTCTTTGTTAAGGACAAGAAGGACCTGGAAAGAATCTCTAGAAGGGTCTCCAGGGTAACACTGTCGGGCCCAACTCGATCTGCTGTCCTGCGGAAGATCTACCTAAGCATCTTACCTTTTAGGCCCAGAGGATGGGGAAGTGACAGAACACGCAGTCCCAGAACTGGCCTGGCGCAGCCTACTCACAGCGCATGCGCCGGCCGGCCGCCCGAGGTGGGGACTTTCTCGGCAGCTGCCCCTTCAAGGATGGGCGGGACGGAGTGGAGGCCCCTTCTGGGCCGGGGGCCAGGGATCCTGGATGCTTCTGACCCATTCTCCGGCATCCTCCACCTCCTCTTCCCCTCCGTCATGGCTCTCCTTCTGGTCCCAGTGCCCAGTGCCCTTTTCTTCAGCGACGAAACAGTCTCCTGGCACCTCCTGGCTCCCCACCAAGCCCTTCCCTGCGTGTGACCACTTCTGAGGGCAGAGTCTTCCTTCCAAGCCCACGCTAACACCAAAGGCCTTAGCTCTTCCCGTGAAGTGCTGTGCAGTCGGCCCCTCTTTCCCACTGTCTGATTATCCTGTGCTCTTTGTCCCCCTACCTCTTATAACACTAGTTTTTGTTGGTTTTGCGTTTTGAGACAGGGTCTCGGTATATGGTTCAGACTGGCTTTGAACTCACTGTGTAGCCCAGACCGTCCTCCAACTCACAAAGACCGCCCTGTCTCAGCCTCTCCATTGCTGGGTTTGCAGGCGTTTGCCACTGTGCCTGAGTACTTTCTCAGTGACTTGAAAACGTACAAAGCATGTACATGTACCAACTTCCCACACGGAATGTAAACATTACGTACTGCGCACGTGTGCTAATAGACTAAAATTTAAAAAAAACTTTAAATAAAGAAAACCTACAAAAGAAAAATCACTCTCTTACCACTGAAGTATTTGTTACAGTTGAAACTTTACATTTGTGTGTTGATTATCCGATTCTTATGTGTGCTGAAAGAGAATTCTCCAAGGGCAAGCTCCGTGTTAGTTCACCCTTATATTCCCTACGTGTAGCAACCTGCGTTTACTCTCAGGATTCCCAGTCTCTCCCCATGACACAAGGTGCTGCTTGGTTATTCGTTGAACGTTCATTTATTCAATACACTCCCACCGACATGACTCTGTGTCCAGGATTTGCGGTAGAGATGAGCTACAAAACCAAGTCCATGTAGGAGGGAATGTGGGAAGAGCAGCAGGGGCTGTAGTGATGCTGTGTTCCGATGCAGGCAGAGGTGTCTCTGGATGACGAAGAGAGGGCGCAGCCCTTGTAGTAAGAGGGACGGTGTGTGCTGACTCTGAGTCCTGGAGGGTCCGGCTGCTGGACGCCCTGTACCACAGAGGGTAGTGACTTAGCTGGAAAAGTGTCCTTGAAATGGTTACTAGGACCTGCGATGTTGCGAGTGGATGATTAGATTTCAGCTTGGAAAATACAAGGAGACCTTGGAGGTTCGGGAAGAGTGGAGGAATGATACATGTTTTCTGTGGGCATTTTGTTTCTTACTGCCTTTTGTTTTGTTTTTTGGTACTGAGGATTGAATCAACGAGTTTTTTTGTTTCAATTTGAGACAGGATTTTTTTTTTTTTTTTTGGTACTGGGGATGAACTCAGGCCGTCGTTGCACTTGCTAGGTAGGCCACAGAACCACTGAGCCAAATCCTCAGCCCTGAGACGGGATCTTTTTAACTTGCTAAATTGCCCAGGCTGCATTCAAACTTGTGATCCTCCTGCCTCAGCCTCCCAAGTGCTGGGACTACAGCTATGCCCACACCACTTGGCAGTGACCCACCGTCTTCATCCCACCTGGGCAGGGAACCTCGCTGGGCAGTCTATAGACCCCCGAACCGGTCCAGCCAGACAATGACGGGGTCATGCACAGTGCAGTAGAGCTAAGCGCAACAGGACTAAGCTGAGGACCGTTAGCAGAAGTACACTGCCCAGAGAGAGAGCCCTGTGTCAGGGTGCTGCATGCCCACACCTCATTCACATCGACCCCGTGAAGCAGAGATCCACCCGCTGTTTCTGTACTGTGCCCGACAGGAGACACCTCAGGCTGGACAAAACTGGGGACAGGGCAGGGCTCCAATAAAAGTCATGTACCTACGCTGAAACGTGCATTTCACAGAATTTTCTTGTGTCATGCAGTAGTGTTTGGATTGTTTTCCCCCAGGTAAAGCTAGACCTGTGAAACCTATCGGGAGCTTCCTGGGCCACACCGAAAAAAAAAAAGGCGGCAGGTCCTGCCCAGCCTGGTCTGGG